TTTTTTTAATTTTTTGATTCTTTAATTTTTAAAATTTTTAGGTTTTCGAGTTTCTAAATTTTCGATTTTTCGATTTTTCAATTTTTAAATTTTTCAATTTCTGAGTTTTTCGCTGTTTCGGTTTAGATTTTTAAATTTTTCAATTCTTCAATTTTTTCATTATTTAATATCTTAAATTTTTTTAATTTTAGATTTTTCAATTTTACAATATCTCAATTTATCAGTTTTGAAATTTTTCGATTTTTCAATTTTTTGATATTTTAAAACTAAAATTTTTCGATTTTTGGCTATTTCAATTCCTCGATTTTTCGACTTCGGATTATTTCGATTTCTCGATGTGTCAATTTTTCGATATTTCCAATTTTCTATTTTCTAATGTTTCGATGTTTCGATTTTTCAATTGTTCTGTTTCTCATTTTGCAACGTTTCAATTTTGGGAATTTTTCGATTTTTGGATTTTTCAAATTTTCGATCTTTTTTTTAATTTAAGTTTTTACTCGTTTTTTCGATTTTTCAGTTTTTCGATTTTTTTATTTTCGATTTTTTGAAATTAAAGTTTTTCAATTTTGGGCTATTTTAATTCCTCGATTTTTCGGCTTCGGACTATTTCGATTTCTCGACATACCGACTTCTTAATGTGTCAATTTTTCGATATTTTGAAGTGTTCGATTTCTCATTCTTCAACGTTTCAAATTTGGGAATGTTTCCATTTCTGGATTTTTCAAATTTCCAATATTTTAATTTCTATGTTTTTCAAAATTTATATTTCCCGAATTTTTTTGCTTTCGATATCTAAATTTTCCGATAGTTCAGTTTTACGAATTTTCAATTTTTCAATTTTGTGATTCTTCAATTTTTTTAATTTTTAGGGTTTCGAGTTTCTACATATCCGATTTTTCGATTTCTCGGTTTTTAAATTTTCAATTTCTCAGTTTTTCGCTGTTTCAGTTTAGATTTGTTCAATTTTTCAATTCTTCAATTTTTTCATTATTTAATTAAGGTACTTGATTTTTTTATTTTAGATTTGTTAATTTTCTATTTCTCAATTTATCAGTTTTTAAATTTTTAAATTTTTTAGTGTTTCATTTTTCGATTTTTCGATTTATCTTTTTTTTAATTTAGGTTTTTATTCGTTTTGGGCTATTTTGATTCCTCGATTTTTCGACTTCGGATTATTTCGATTTTCCGATCTTTTGGTGTTTCGATTTCTCGATATGTCAATTTTTCGATATTTCCAATTTTCTATTTTCTAATGTTTTGATGTTTCGATTTTTCAAGTGTTCTGTTTTTAATTTAGCAACGTTTCTATTTAGGGAATTTTTCGATTTTTGGATTTTTCAAATTTTCGATATTTTAATTTGTTTTTCAAATTTTATTTTCCTCAATTTTTTCGTTATCAATATCTGAATTTTCCGATACATGTTTCAGTTTTACGAATTTTCTATTTTTCAATTTTTTTATTGTTCAATTTTAAAAATTTTTAGGTTTTCGAGTTTCTAAACTTCCGATTTCTCAATTTTTAAATTCATCAATTTCTCAGTTTTTTGCTGTTTCAGTTTAGATTTTTCAATTTTTCAATTCTTTAATTTTTTCATTATTTATTTATTTTTTATTTTATATTTGTTAATTTTACTATTTCTCAATTTTTCAGTTTTTAAATTTTTCTATTTTCCAGTTTTTCATTTTTCGATTTTTCGATTTATCTTTTTTTTTAATTTAAGTTTTTACTCGTTTTTTCGATTTTTCGGTTTTTCGATTTTTCAGTTTTTCGATTTTTTTATTTTCGATTTTTTAAAATTAGAGTTTTTCAATTTTGGGCTATTTTGATTCCTCGATTTTTCGACTTCGGGCTATTTCGATTCCTCGATTTTTCGACTTCGGACTATTTCGATTTCTCGACATACCGACTTCTTAATGTGTCAATTTTTCGATATTTTCAAGTATTCGATTTCTCATTCTTCAACATTTCAAATTTGGGAATGTTTCCATTTCTGGATTTTTCAAATTTTCAATATTTTAATTTCTATGTTTTTCAAATTTTATATTTCCCGAATTTTTTTGCTTTCGATATCTAAATTTTCCGATAGTTCAGTTTTACGAATTTTCAATTTTTCAATTTTGTGATTCTTCAATTTTTTTAATTTTTAGGGTTTCGAGTTTCTACATATCCGATTTTTCGATTTCTCGGTTTTTAAATTTTCAATTTCTCAGTTTTTCGCTGTTTCAGTTTAGATTTGTTCAATTTTTCAATTCTTCAATTTTTTCATTATTTAATTAAGGTACTTGATTTTTTTATTTTAGATTTGTTAATTTTCTATTTCTCAATTTATCAGTTTTTAAATTTTTAAATTTTTTAGTGTTTCATTTTTCGATTTTTCGATTTATCTTTTTTTTAATTTAGGTTTTTATTCGTTTTGGGCTATTTTGATTCCTCGATTTTTCGACTTCGGATTATTTCGATTTTCCGATCTTTTGGTGTTTCGATTTCTCGATATGTCAATTTTTCGATATTTCCAATTTTCTATTTTCTAATGTTTTGATGTTTCGATTTTTCAAGTGTTCTGTTTTTAATTTAGCAACGTTTCTATTTAGGGAATTTTTCGATTTTTGGATTTTTCAAATTTTCGATATTTTAATTTGTTTTTCAAATTTTATTTTCCTCAATTTTTTCGTTATCAATATCTGAATTTTCCGATACATGTTTCAGTTTTACGAATTTTCTATTTTTCAATTTTTTTATTGTTCAATTTTAAAAATTTTTAGGTTTTCGAGTTTCTAAACTTCCGATTTCTCAATTTTTAAATTCATCAATTTCTCAGTTTTTTGCTGTTTCAGTTTAGATTTTTCAATTTTTCAATTCTTTAATTTTTTCATTATTTATTTATTTTTTATTTTATATTTGTTAATTTTACTATTTCTCAATTTTTCAGTTTTTAAATTTTTCTATTTTCCAGTTTTTCATTTTTCGATTTTTCGATTTATCTTTTTTTTTAATTTAAGTTTTTACTCGTTTTTTCGATTTTTCGGTTTTTCGATTTTTCAGTTTTTCGATTTTTTTATTTTCGATTTTTTAAAATTAGAGTTTTTCAATTTTGGGCTATTTTGATTCCTCGATTTTTCGACTTCGGGCTATTTCGATTCCTCGATTTTTCGACTTCGGACTATTTCGATTTCTCGACATACCGACTTCTTAATGTGTCAATTTTTCGATATTTTCAAGTATTCGATTTCTCATTCTTCAACATTTCAAATTTGGGAATGTTTCCATTTCTGGATTTTTCAAATTTTCAATATTTTAATTTCTATGTTTTTCAAATTTTATATTTCCCGAATTTTTTTGTTTTCGACATCTAAATTTTCCGATAGTTTAGTTTTACGAATTTTCAATTTTACAATTTTGTGATTCTTCAATTTTTTTAATTTTTAGGGTTTCGAGTTTCTAAATATCCGATTTTTCGTTTTTTAATTTTTCAATTTCTCAGTTTTTCGCTGTTTCAGTTTAGATTTGTTCAATTTTTCAGTTCTTCAATTTTTTCATTATTTAATTACTTGATTTTTTTATTTTGGATTTGTTAATTTTCTATTTTTCAATTTATCAGTTTTTAAATTTTTAAATTTTTTAATGTTTCATTTTTCGATTTATTTTTTTTTTAATTTAGGTTTTTATTCGTTTTGGACTATTTTGATTCCTCGATTTTTCGACTTCGGATTATTTCGATTTTCCGATTTTTTGGTGTTTCAATTTCTCGATATGTCAATTTTTCGATATCTCCAATTTTCTAGGAGTATTTTCTAATGTTTCGATGTTTTGATTTTTCAAGTGTTCTGTTTCTCAGTTAGCAACGTTTCAAATTTGGGAATTTTTCGATTTCTGGATTTTTCAAATTTTCGATATTTTAATTTCTATGTTTTTCAAATTTTATTTTCCTCGATTTTTTCGTTTTCGATATCTGAATTTTCCGATACATACTTCAGTTTTAGGAATTCTCAATTTTTCAATTTTTTATTCAATTTTAAAAATTTTTAGGTTTTCGAGTTTCTAAATTTCGATTTCTCAATTTTTAAATTCATCAATTTCTTAGTTTTTCGCTGTTTCAGTTTAGATTTTTCAATTTTTCAATTCTTGAATTTTTTCGTTATTTAATTTCTTGATTTTTTTTTTAATTTTAGATGTTTCAATTTTACAATTTCTCAATTTATCAATTTTGTAATTTTTCGATTCTTCAATTTTTTATTTTTCGATTTTCCGATTTATCTTTTTTTTAATTCAAGTTTTTATTCGTTTTTTAGATTTTTCGATTTTTTCAAATTCAATTTTTTCAATTTTTAATTTTTTGATTTTGGGCTATTTCGATTTCTCAATTTTGCAACATTTCAGTTTTGGGAATTTTTCCATTTCTGATTTGTCGATTTGTCGATTTCTCGATTGTTTAAATTTTAGAATTTTCGATTAATGTCTCAATTGCTCGATCTTTCGATTTTTCGGATTTCGATTTTTCAGTTTTTGCTGGGTGGTACTTCAGGAACGTGGAAAATTCTGTGGAAATAATTTAAATCTTTTTTGGGGGAATAAGAAGCCAGGCAATATTTTTATTAACTTTTGATTGAAAAATATAAGCATTTGTTCGCTTTATCTGTAGCTACACTTTGTTTTAATAAAGGGGTCTTAGTTTGGCTGGATTGTATGTCCTCATTTGGCTTTTGTTCAACAATACTTTGTACCTTAATGTCCTAGCTTAACCAAACAACTGAACCGGACCCAACCAAAATAAAAACAATAAAACTAATACCTCTGTAGCAATACAAAGACGGCTTTAGCTGCCCTTTGTATGATAACACAAAAGAACTAAGTTTTATTTTATTAAACTTTAGAAATGCTGTAATGGATTTATTTTAATGTAATAAGGAAAGCAACTCATAGCAAACCTCCCTAAAATAAATGTTACCGTGCCCTTACAATCTCTAAATGTCACAACCAAAAAACAAGCATAAAGTCATACCTCTGAAATTAAGGAATGTAGCGATGATGAGTATATTGGTGACGATGATGGCGATAGCCATGATGAAGATGATGCCCGCTTGGGTAAGACCCTCCAGCGTGAACACGATTTCCATGTCATCGTTGGAGTCACTGAAAATGATCATAGTAGAGGTGGTGTCCCTGGTACGGAACATGCCGGGTCCGGGCCGCTAGCGAGTCGGACGAGGCTGTGAGCGCGGCCCCGGATGCAGGTGGCGCCACCTACCCGCCATGCCGTTGCAAGGATCACCTGGACAAGGACTCAGCACTCCGGGTAGTTCGCATCGAACTCCTGCAACAAAAAGGATCCGATTACGCCACAGTCGATACCGCTGCCAGCCGGGCTAATTTTACTGGGGTTTTACGTCACGACGGAGGAAAGCAACGTACATTATCCAAATTTTTTTGAAGTTCCGGAATTCAAAGCCGCCCTCCCAATTAGCAGTAAACAAAGCCGCTCCAATCGAATTAAGAATTAGCCCCAAATATCGAAAACTCGTAAACCACCTTCCCTACACTCGTCGCAACATAAACCTTCCCGAATCTAAATATAAATTGAATTTGAATGCAGCGCCGCCAGCGTCGGTCGGAGCGCTGGTTTCTTAAACGAACCGGGTTATTTGCATTTAATCTGGATTTGGGGTGATTGGATCATCATTCTTTACACCCACCTCGTGTTGCTTTGATGTTAATCAAAGCTGCTGCTGCTTTGTTTTCCGCTTAATTTAGCCAGGGAATGCGGGAGTGCAATTACCGTTTTCTTTATGTCAAATAAATTCCAACTTTTGGCCGGAGTCAAACCGAGCCGACGTTCAACAATGCGAAAACGTTTTTCCGGAGCAAACAAACGCCATCTGAATCATTTTTCATCGCAGCGAGAGTTATTGATGGCGCTTTCGGGAGTTTACAGAGTTTGAGATAGCTTTTGTAGATCGTTCATGGTTGTGCTTGTGTTAAAACGTATGAATGGAGATGAAGGGTTCAGCTCGTGGGGCTGGGGAGGTTGCGACAATTGGAATTAGGCGGATGGGGGAGGAGGGAGGAGTTGAGAGGGTTCTTGGAAGGGAACGCGGAGTGGGAGTGCGTTCCTGGAACAGAGTTTCATCAGTGTGTGTAATTTCACACAACTTTATTAATAAAACGAATTTACTAAAAAAAGCTAATTTTAGTTTTTGTGTGAAGTGTTGTCCTATTGGAATTTTCCGAACAGTGTTTTGATTTTTTAGCCCACATCTTATCATAATGAATTCCTGAATCCGAGATATGAAATAAACAACCTCGCATGTCTGGAACAATTTGTCATTGGGATCAAGATAATTATTGAGGTCACGTAGAATTGGCAATTTATTTTTATCTACAAACTCGATGGATTTTCAGAATCAGTCTTGTGTTATTTCTTAGGAAATTTAAAATGTTTTTATGACCCCTAGATGACGAAGAAATCGGTCTCCCGCCCATCTCGAATTTTTATTAGACAGATAATGGAAAAAAAAATGAATGGGTGAATTTTATTATTGATTTAATCAGGAACTGCAAAACCGAATTCTTTGAAATCGTGGAAATGTTTTAAAGTTATCATAAGCTTGGTAAATTTTTGATCAAAATGTATTTGCTCATCCCCCCTAAAATATTGATGACGTCACCCCAATATTTTGCTGAATAAATCCTATGCTTGTAATTTATCAATGCATTCATATTTTTTAGATTTGCTTATACAGGTGACCCAAAAAATTAATGAATCAATCAATTTATTTTATTGAATAAATGATGAATTGCAAAAATGAACACTTTGAAATCTTGCAGATGTTTTAGGATTATTGCAAGCGTGTAAACAAATATATATGTTTATTCCCCCCAAGAAATTGATGACGTCATCTCAAATTTTCGATTTTTTACTTGTGATTTAACACTGCATTCATATTTTTTAGATTTGCCACCTATTTTCTCAAGGATATGTCATTTGCCAAAATTAGTCTTATTTTAGCAAAGACTAGCCCCGCCCACCCGCCTTCTCTTTTCTTAGAAGGTATCTCATTTGACAAAGTCTCATCTAGTAGATAAAACTGATTTTGGCAAATGACATACCCCCCAAGAAAAGAGAGAGTGGATGGCTAGTAGCTGCCAAGATAAGACTGATTTTGGCAAATCAGATACTTTGTAAGAAAATAGAGGGTGGGTGGGTGGGGCTAGTACCTACTAAGATCAAACTGATTTTGGCAAATTACATACTTTCTATGAAAAGAAAGGGTGGGTGGGCGGGGCTAATAGTTACTAAGACAAAACTGATTTTAACAGGTACTAATCCCACCCATTCGTCCTCTATTTTCTTAGAGAGATCTCATTTGCCAAAATCAGTCTTATCCAAGCAGGTACTAGCCCCACCCACCCACCCTCTCTTTTCTTAGAAGGTATCTCAATTGCCAGAATCAGTCTTACCTTAACAAGTACTAACCCCGCCCACCCACCCTTTATTTTCTCAGAAGATATGTCATTTGCCAAAATCAGTTTTATCTTAATAAAAGTACTAGCCCCGCCCACCCACCCCCTATTTTCTCAGAGGATTATGTCATTTGCCAAAATCAGTCTTATCTTAGCAAATGACATACCTTTTAAGAAAATAGAGGGCAGGTGAACGGTTCTAGTACATTCTGAGATAAGAGTTATTTTGGTAAATAACATACTCTCTGAGAAAATAGAGGGCGGGTGGGCGGGACTAGTACTTGCTAAGATAAGAAAGAAAATTCGACGGAAGTTCTGTTGAAAAAACTTTCGACCAATTTTGTTTGCTTCCGAAATCTTGGAGATGTTTTAATGTTATCATAATCATGGTAAATTTTTGATCAAAATGTTTTGCTCATCCCCCCTAAAAAATCGATGACGCCACCTCAAAATTTTGATGAATAAATCCTATCTTAAATGTAGAAAATATGATGAGTCTGTACTTGTAATTTATCAATGCATTCATATTTTTTAGATTTGGTTATACAGGGGACTCAAAAAATTTAATGAATCAATTCGTGTAAGCATGTAAACAAATATATCTGTTTATTCCCCCCCAAGAAATTGATGTCATCTCAAAATTTTGCCGAATAAATTCTACCCAAAATGTGCAAAATACGATGAGTTTTTACTTATTTTTTAGATCTGCGCCCTATTTTCTCAGAGGATATGTCATTTGCCAAAATTAGTCTTATTTTAGCAAGGACTATCCCCGCCCACCCACCCTCTCTTTTTTTAGAGGGTATGTCATTTGCCAAATTTCTATCTAGTAGCTGCTAAGATAAAACTGAATTTGGTAAATTACATACCCTCTAAGAAAAGAGAGGGTGGGTGGGGGGGGGCTAGTAGCTGCCAAGATAAGACTGATTTTGGCAAATGACATACCTTGTAAGAAAAGAGAGGGTGGGTGGGTGGGGCTACTACCTGCTAGGAACAAACTGATTTTGGGTGGGGCTAGTAGCTGCTAAGAGAAAATTGATTTTAGCAGGTACTAGTCCCGCCCATCCCCTCTCTCTTTTCTTAGAAGGTATCTCAATTGCCAAAATCAGTCTTACCTTAACAAGTACGAGCCCCGCCCACCCACCCTTTATTTTCTCAAAGGATATGTCATTTGCCAAAATCAGTCTTATCTTAGCAAATGACATACCTTTTAAGAAAATGGAGGGCAGGTGAACAGGGCTAGTATTTGCTAAGATAAGATTTATTTTGGCAAATAACATACCCTCTGAGAAAATAGAGGGCGGGTGGGCGGGGCAAGTACTTGCTAAGTTAAGATTGATTTTGCCTCAGTTAATATTGTAAAAACTTGTTAACTTTCAAAGGTGTTAAATTACAAATTTCCATAGTAACGAGTTAAATTCCTAAATCTTCTACTTCAGGAGCGAGGGAAGTTCTGTTGAAACAACTTTCGACCAATTTTGTTTGCTTCCGAAATCTTGGAGATGTTTTAATGTTATCATGGTAAATTTTTGATCAAAATGTTTTGCTCATCTCCCCTAAAATATCGATGAAGTCACCTGAAAATATTGCTGAATAAATCTTAAATGTGCAAAATATCATGATTCTGTGCTTGTAATTTATCAATGCATTCATATTTTTTAGATTTGCTTATACAGGGTGACACAAAAAAAATAATGAATCAATTGTAAGCATGTAAACAAATATATCTGTTTATCCCCCCCTCCCAAGAAATTGATGATGTCATCTCAAAATTTTGCCGAATAAATTCTACCCAAAATGTGCAAAATACGATGAGTTTTTACTTGTGAGTTATCATTGCATTCATATTTTTTATATTAGCCCTCTATTTTCTCACAGGATGTCATTTGCCAAAATTAGTGTTATCTCAGCAAAGACTTGCCCCGCCCACCCACACTCTCTTTTCTTAGAGGGTATCTCATTTGCCAAAATCAGTGTTATTCTAACAGGTACTAGCCCCCGCCCACCCACCCTTTCTTTTCTTAGAGGGTATGTCATTTGCCAAATTTCTATCTAGTAGCTGCTAAGATAAAACTGAATTTGATAAATTACATACCCTCTAAGAAAAGAGAGGGTTGGGTGGGTGGGGGGCTAGTAGCTGCCAAGATAAGACTGATTTTGGCAAATGAGATACCTTGTAAGAAAAGATAGGGTGGGTGGGTGGGTGGGTGGGGCTAGTACCTGCTAAGTTTAAACTGATTTTGGCAGATGACATTCTCTCTAAGAAAAGAGAGGGTGGGTGGGTGGGGCTAGTAGCTGCTTAGATAAAATTGATTTTAGCCGGTTCTAGCCCCGTCCATTCGCCCTCTCTTTTCTTAGAGAGATCTCATTTACCAAAATCAGTCTTATCCAAGCAGGTACTAGCCCCGCCCACCCACCCTGTCTTTTCTTCGAAGTTATCTCATCTGCCAAAATCACTCTTACCTTAACAGGTACTAGCCTCGCCCATCCACCCTTTATTTTCTCAGAGGATTATGTCATTTGCCAAAATCAGTCTTATCTTAGCAAATACTAGCATTTTGGCAAAAGACATACCTTTTAAGGAAATAGAGGGCACGTGAACGGGGCTAGTACTTGCTAAGATAAGATTTATTTTGGCAAATTACATGTCTTTTGAGAAAATAAACGGTGGGCGGGCGGTTCCAGTACTTGCTAAGATAAGACTTATTTTGCCAAATAACATACCCTCTGAGAAAATAGGGGGTGGGTGGGCGGGGCTAGTACTTGCTAAAAGAAGACTTATTTCGGCAAATGACATTCTCTGAAAAAATAAAGGGTGGGTGGGCGGGGCTAGCACTTACTAAGATAAGACTG